ACACTGCACCTGAATGCATCTTCGTTAATTGAAAACCAAAAGCTCCGCCAACTTAGAAAACATCTTTATTCACTTTAAACCAGTGCAGTCAAACAAAACATCAACAGAAACAGACAAACATGGAGTAGCACTGCATTACACAAGTCAAGGTCAGTTAAAGGTCGTAACACCTCAGGGACAAACAGCCGTTTCCATAGCAATGAGGCTTCTCTCTGAGCGTCTGTGCAGTCCGACGTGAGGTTTTTTTTATACATGCTCATGTTGTTATCTGACAAGCAGAAGATGAAGATTTTCTGTGATCCACAGAAGAAAGTAACTGCTGCGTTTTGTTTTACCTGTTGTGGGGATACACTGCCACCTGCTGGTGAGGAGGAAGATGTGCAGCAGTAACATATTTTATAGAATTTCAAGCCTGCTCTGCTGTCAAAGGAATGGATTTTTTTTTAACTTAATCTTTTAGCAAATTTACATTTATGGCATCAATTTCCTAATATTCAATGAAGCTTCTTTTCTTCTTTATATTTAGTGTTAAAATGTGACCTTTATTCTCCACTCAATTTGGGGTTTATCTTTTCGTAACAGACAAGACATTATATTTCTCCAGAGGCCAAAAATATCCAAGCAAAACATCAAATACAACAACAACAAAAACAAAAATTTTTAAAAAAGGAGGGGGATATTGAATTATGAATACTGAAGAGAAAAAACAGGAAAATCCTTTCAAAACGTACGTCATAGATTGGTGAAATGTTTCCAGTGTTAGATATCTTCAATGATCGACACAAATGTCCAGTCAGCTCAGCACATGTGAGCGTGTAGCCACTGCGTTTGAGTCAGGTGAAAGAAATGTAATCACACACACTTGGTTTTGTATATGTGTGTGTGTGTGTGTGTGTGTCGGTCTGACTGTGTAGTGTTTAGGAGTCGTCTCCGTTGGCGCTGTCCCCGTCGTCCTCTCCTTCCTCCTCCTCCTCCTCCTCCCCCTCGTCCTCATCCTGCCCTCTGCTTTTCATCTGAGAAGTCCAAAACATCACTCATTAGTCTTTAATCACTCGACACAAACGAGATATTTGAATATTTGTTTTTGACGTATAAAGAGCAGAAGGGTTTCAGATTACTGCCCACAAAAAGAGGATTCTGGGATATTATCTTCTGGCACTTATGGACATAACGGACTCACTCATCAAACTTCTTTTTTAAATTATTTCTGGGCTTTTTATGCCCCTATCCTTAGAGACAGGACAGTTTATAGTCAGCAACCGGGGAGAGAGAGAGAGAGAGTGGGGAATGACATGCAGGAGGGGCTAAAGGTCGGATTCGAACCTGGGCCGCCCGCCTCGAGGACCACTGCCTCTGCACGTGGGGCGCGCACACCAACCGCTTAGGCCACCGGCACACCTCAATCTGCAAATTAATCAAAAGACTGAAAACTACTACAAACAACCAGTTTGGTAAAAAAAATCACTGTTATGGGCACTAGTGGCCTAGTGGTTAGTTTGCACTCCCCATGTACAAAGGCTGAAGTCCTCTCTCTCTCTTCCCATTTCCTACTCATAAAGTCATAAAAGCCCCTCCCCCTCAACAAAAAACCTTGTTATCTGGACTCCTCTCCCGCTCCTCACCTCGTCCTCGTCCTCCAGCAGATCTCCCTCCTCGTCTGAGTCCTGGCTCTCTCTTTCTCGTTTCAGGCTGTCGTCTTTCTTGCTGGAGGTAGACGAGTTGAGGGAGGACAGCTCGCCGGGTTCTGGTTTGCAGCTCTTCATCTCTGAGTCGATGTGAGCAGAGACAACGGATGAGAACACACAGAAACACAGGGACTGACTAAAGGCGGGGTTTTGATCAGGAGCCAAATGAAAACCAAAAAAAATCCTAATCTGAAGTCTTTTGGTTCATTTATTGGTTTGATTCAACCTGGACCCTCCTCACTTCTCTGTCCAACAATCACATATTTCCCTGTCACGATTCATCCCAGTGCAGTTTGAGTCACAGAGAATATCATGCTACTTGTGAAAAGCCATGAGTCCAATTATACATTTGACATTTGTGGGGACAGTTTTTGCTTGTTTTTTAATCGTAACTAAGCAACCACAACATATAAGAAGACTTGAATGTGTTATCAGCGGCTTAAACATGAGTTCTGTTGAGATGGGGGTTCAGACTAGACGGGGGGACAAATATGAGGTGTGGGGTTTCATGTGGGTCTTGTGCAAAGAAATGAAGAGTGTCAAACACTTCCTGTGGTGCATTGTGGGAAATTTAACTGAAGAAACTTTTTCTACTTCAGTATTGTAAATTAAGCCAGGAAGCTGAATAAAGTGTCTTTATATTAGACCTCCTCTTCCTCCTCCTCTTCACCCTCCTCCTCCTCCTCCTCTTTCTCCTCCTCCTCCGCTTCCTCCTCCGCTTCCTCCTCCTCCTCCTCTTTCTAATCCTCCTCCTCTTCCTCCTGCTCCCCCTCCTCTTCCTCACCCTCCTCCTCCTCTTCCTTTTCTTCTTCCTCCTCTTCCCCCTCCTCTTCCTCCTCTTCCTCCTCACCCTCCTCCTCCTCCTCCCCCCCTCCTCTTCCATTCATGTATTATCAGGAACTTTGTTTCAAAATGTGCAGCCCTCGTCGGACACTGTAGTCGTGACCCTCGAGTCTCTTCCTCTTCATTTCTGCCCCTGTTAGAAAAGTCTTACAGGAAACCCCTAAAATCTGATCTGCATTTGAACCCCCTCACTGATCCTCACCTGACTTCTTGCCGTGGTCCTTCTCCATGCGCTCCAGGCTCTCCAGCAGGTAGTCCACCTTGTGTTTGATCTGCGTCAGCTCTCTCTTTATGGCCTGCAGGTCGTCGCTCTTCACTGCTGTGGTGGGGGGGAAACGCAGGAGAGAGAAGTATTTAGGGGCGAGTAGAGTGAAGCTGTGTGAACGTGACACGAGCCGTGATACTCACCGTTCCTGGACGTCCTCTGGCTGTTCTTTGAGGAGGAGAAGCTGGTTTTGGTCCGTTGGCTGCCCCCTCCGCTTAGACTGACCCGCAGGCGCTTCGAGGGGACGACGGCTCGGGACAGAGGGGGAGGAGGGGGGGGAGGTACCCGGGGCTGATAGGAGTACATCCTGACATACAAATACACATAAGTAAGAACTTCAGAAACACAAGAAAATACAAAAAAAGAGAAAAAGAGAATATTTACCGATCATAGTAATCTCTTTGAAAGTCATACTCCAGATCAATAGATGGACTGAGGAGAGAGCAGAGACAGGGTAGCAACATTAACAACAGCATTATTATGAAGCATCACAAAGTCTGTCTGAGTGCTTGAATGTTTTGGTTTCAAACGTCATGAACGCACACACACCTGTACATGTCTCCTGCAGCTCGCTTGGCTGTCTTCGATCTGTGAGGTTTGGGCTCGTTGGCAAGGTTGATATCTGAAGGAGGAAAAAAACCAGAATCATGTCAGTATGGAGTTAAGAGCTAAATATGAACACGTGTTCATCACTCTCTCCTCTCCTCGGTAAGATTATCATCTTTTTTTAAAATCTGCATTAAGTATCAAACTGTTCTTAAAATGTGCATGATAAAAACTAGTTTCTTTGTCTACTTTAATGAGAGTGTGGATGTTTTTTAAACTGAATGAAATAACAGTTCCTGGTTTAAACACTAGAGGGCAGCACAGTGGTTCAGGCCAAATAAAAAGAGTTTCAAATCAAGACGTTTATGTGGAATCAAAGCGACTTTTTAAAGGCTTTATATGTGATTTTTCACACTTAAATATAA